AGATTGAGGCTATGATATTAGGGCGGATTGGGGACACGTGATATAGAAATGGTGAAATTAAAGACACGCGGATTACAAAAAAATTGGTGATGTACTTTATCTGTGGCACAAGCCACGCGTCTTGATTTTAGGGATGCATGAATTGGTTAATGTCTCAATGTCAATGTGATAATAGTTTTTTCACTGCAATAGAGATTCTCGCGATATTAAACTTGATGATTGACTCAAAATAATTGATAGTTAACTCGGAATTAATTGATAGTTGAATCAAATAGAGACGCTACACAGAGCGCTAGACTCGATATAGTACTCGGTGATGTACTCGATACTCGGTTAGTTTGATACTGTACTTTATAGGTGAATCTCGGACTAACCGATGTATACTCTTTGAGGAGCAGATTGATACTACTGAAATTTCATATTTGGCGATTTGCTTCGTGATTTACGCGTGGACCCGAAGGGTCCCGAGGTCGTTCGAGATTTTCTGTTGAGCCCGGTAATTCTGATAGAAAAATATTTACTGCGTTTCAAACAGACCTTTTTTGTCGAATGAAATCAGAGCTATGAAAAAGGGATCTATAAAAATTTGATTATCTTCGATGGATTCAGAAATATTAAGCAAACCTGAGCCCTGAGTAAATTTTCATACAGACATTCATTGTCAAATATAGTTCAGTGTTCCTTTCTTCTTATTATGCTAATTGTATTGAAAGTTTTCATGTAATAAAGTGAGAAACGTAATAAGTCAAATCAGACATTTTCATCATTTTTTGTTTCATTTAGAGTCTTCCTTACTTCTTCATTTTTATTTCTCTTTCGTTGGAGTTTAGACTATCACTGTGTTTAGGTTTGCTTCCTTCGCAGATTTGAATTGCTCTTAATTATATTCATGAATTACGCAATCACTCATTCATACACTGAAATAAATGAGTGTCTGTATCACGAATTTCATTGTCAATTGAATTTTTTCATTGCACACTTTTCAATTGAGTGTAAAAGAGTTGTTGATTATTTTTTTGGAAATATCTTGGGATTTATGGGAAAAAGCTAAATTTTTATGAGGAGTTTGAGCTCACTGAATGAGCTTTTTTTCTGAGTGAAATAGGAGCTGCAACAAAGATCTTTCTGAAAATTTTGCTATCTCCTCTAGATTACGAGATATTTTCCGAAAGTGATCCCAAAATTGAATTTGAAAATCATTAAAATAAATTTTAATTCATAAACGAACATAAAGACTTTTTTGTAGAGACAATGCAGAGCTACAAAGAAGGTTTCAATGACAATCTCGCTATCTCCTCTAGATTCTGGGATTTTGAGCAGAAAAGAATAGTCAATTTTTGTTTGAAAGCATGAAAACTTCAATTTCACTTTTGTATAAATTTTTGAAAAACCTTTTTGAAGAATGTGACCACTATATTTCGAAATAATTGCCAAAATACTTTCAAACAAATTACATTTTGGCTCGGTTTTTGGTCTTTTCACCTGATTTAAGAAGAAATGATTATCATCCCCAATTTTTCATCATTTTACGATAATTGTTTCAATTATCGAACCCAACGAAATTGAAGGATTTTTGCATTGACAAAGACCGTAAAAATGATGAACAAAATTAAATCACAATAATTTCCCTACTAAAATTGTAAATCGTCATGGATCATTTTTTCGATTTTCGTTAATTGTGGAATTATCTTGAAAACGCATGCTTTCAGGACGTAAAATCAAAGTACCTTTTCTGTAGCTTAAGAAGTTTTCAGCCAAAAATGTCTTTTGATAATTCCACCAATACCCAGTTATTCTCGAGATAACTAAACATTAACCAAAACGTAATAAATCTTTGTTTTTCACCACTCTATTCCTCATTTTTTAAAACACGTAATTCTCATTCACTCACCTTTCTTGTGGTTTTCATCATTATTAAGGTGCTTCATTCAGACATTATTGATTGAAGAATTGAAGAGAAAATTTAATTTTCCTTTTAATTCCCCCATCATTTGAATAATTTCATACTCAACCAAATACTTACAATCCACTAATTGCATCCACCACTCCACTTCTGACATTGTTTTTCGAACGTTCCTTCAAGATGTTTCAATGGTGAAGAATTACCCTAACATAATTATTGATTCATTAAAATTACACGAGAATTAAGAACACCTTCCAATCGTTCAATATATTCAGTTGCATTAACTTGCGAAGGGTACTTGATCAAGTAAGATTGTCATTATCGTGCAATATTTGTCATTGATTTTTACTTATTATGAGTGGTACTGGATGTGGAAAGATTAATTCTGTCACAGGGATCATATCATAATGTATCTCAATGGGCTGCATAACTTTATAAGCATTCAAAGTATCGCCATAATAGAATGTTTCTAAGGAGCGATACACGATTAGTATCTCGCCATTGATTATGTAGATGTCGTAAATCTCTCCAAATACCGGAAGTGAGTCCTCCTCGACTTCCAACAAAATGATAAAATTTGAAATATAATCATCGAATAAGTGGGAATTTGGAAGATTTTGGCGTAAGAATATCTGCCCAAACTGGATTTCGTCACCTATACAGTGGAATTTCTTAGATGCATTGCCGGGACTCGTTGCGAGTCGAGAACAAAGTCGAGCTTGATGACGATAAGCTAGAGTGTAGGGCATATTTTTAAAATTCCGCACGACAGGTACTAATGGCTTGAAATAATTATGGGCTCTTTCGAAACTGATACACCATTGCTGACGCGCAGGAGTGTCTTATGTAACGACACAAATCGGTTGTGAAATAGAATTTAGGAGTCTTCTTACCAGGATTCAACTTGTCAAATCTAATGATGATAATTCTATCATTCGTGGAAGGAGGTCAACTGTCTCTGTGTGAAACTCGTAAGCAAAACACACATTTGTAACCTGCAACAGGTGTACATGACATCTCATGAGCTCTAGAACATCTTCGTCGTCTGTTATCCACTCATTTATTAATGGCAAGGTGTGCATTAATCCTAGCATTTCAGCTGCGCTTTGTTTCAAACCATCCTGTAATTGTTCACGTGTGATAATAACTGGTTTATTCACCTTGAAGTGGCCGAAATCAAAGCTTATGATCCGTTGGTTAAAATCTCTCAACGAAAAAAGTTTTTTTTCGATGATGTAATAATAGAATAGATTTCTAGTGCTTACTTCGCCCACGCCACCTTCCAGAAACAGGTGCATGAGATCTTGTGGCAAGCATTGTGTGACATCAAAAACCTCGCTCTTAGCCAGTAGTGATGGTCCGTTTACTCCGTATCGTCGGGTCCAGAAATTTATTGTATTTTGCGGAACGTTCGGTGTTGTGACGGCCTCCACATGCTGCTGTTGAGTGATTTTATCACGTCTCATAAACAACCGATCATCAGAGTATAATTTCCAGTCATCGACAGTCGCTAAGCAACTTCTACACAGTCTATATGCTGAAACAGCCTCTTTAAAGCCACCCATAGATGCTGATGCTGGCCTGTCTCCGGCACAGAATAAGGTCGACCCCTTAAAATTCTTCTCTTCACCCCCAACCGTAATGGTAATTCCATCGTTCTGTAAAATTTCAATGTCTGCTAGGAAGGGTGCCAATACTCTTTGCAGACCAAATTCTTTGGGTATTGTTGATTTAACAATTGCTAATAACAACAGTATTGTCCGTTGGGAGTAATATTTCTCAATGTCCAGTAAAACATGCAGAGTTTTTCAGCCTTCGAATGGCTGCCGAGGGGATTGGCAATACCCAATTCATCGTAGTAAATTATGACAGTCAATGAGTTTGGGTTAGTCCGAAAAAACTCATTCTCTTGGTAATAAGCTCCATCAAGAACAGTTCGGAGGCAACCATCTCTCTGCGGTGTAACCCTTGTGATATTTTCAAAAATCTCCTCGTTCGTCAATAAATATTTCAAACTTTCCAAGAAAGGAATAACATAAGGAATAACATAACATAATAACATAAGAGTGATAATAAAATACACGCGTATGCGGTACCAGTTTGTTATTCTTCTTTACCCACCGACGAGATGAACTCATTTCCAACGGTTCTGGACACACCATGTTGATATTTTCAACAAGGAACTTGTCGACGTACCACTTCGTAGAGACTGAATCGAACAGCATTGAGGGTGGATATGTTTGGATGAATAGAGCCTCGACTTTATTGAATGCAACAAGGTATATATCAGGATCCATGGTTTGGCGGACTTCATCCTGTGAAGAAGATTAAACTTTTCTATGAATTAGATCAATCCATAATAAAGAAAAAGGACTAATAAATCAGGAGTGAGGTGGTGAGCCATATAATAAGTCAATTCCGAAACTTTCTGCCGTTATCCATTCGTCTCAGGAACAATTTTAGGAAAAAATTACACGAGTTTGATGGTAAACGAATTAATTTACAGTGAAAACTATTTCACACTGTCCTATACAATAATTAATCATCAAGATGGATTAATCTTTAATAAGATATCGAAAATAGGCTGGTGACGTTTTACCACTTCATTACTGAAATTAATGGTTTCATTCCCCCCCCCCCCAAAAAAATGATCGCACTTACCAATAAATTTGAAGTATGCATAGATATTAATCCTATCGCCGCACTCTTGATTTTTTCCAGACCAACGTGAGATGTTTTGCAGTTTTCCCGTATATCGAGTAAATATTCAGCTGCATGCCAATGCAATTTTTCTTGTGTCGTCAAGTTATTCACTTCATCACCTAAAAGAGAATCGAATGAATTCATTGATAAACACCTAACACACGGAAGCAACGACAGATGCAATATCGACAAAGAGAATCTATCGATATTATTACTAATCCCACTCAAATCATCGATTTATTAATATGCCTATACGTATTTAAAAACACATATGAGGGATTGTCCCTCAATGCAGCCACCTGATTTTTTGAAGGTCCCCAAAAAATCTAAAAAAAAACTGTACTTGTATACACATTAAAAGTACTCTCTGCGATTTTTTTTTCAATTTTTTCAAGCATTCGTGGTAGAGATAAATGGATCCGACGAAATTTGAAAAAAAATAGATATCTGGGGACGTTGACCTCAGAGAAAAAATAGTTTAAGACAACAAATTTTGGTTTTTACCTGAATTTTTCAAATAAATTCTTTACTATGAATAGAAAGCGGCTGCACAGAGTTTAAACTATAAAATCATCCTAAAAATTTCATTTTTACATATGGACATTTTTGTTTTTCTTGAAAACAATTGAGCTGATATGGTGATTTAAACTCAAGGTTTATCAATGAAAATGAAAATGGGACGGGCATAAGGTTCGGAGAAAGAAAATCATCACAGGTAATTCTTGACTTTGTCATCAATACTAACTTTTTATACATACGCACATTTTCTAATAACATCATTTCTTAACGTTTCATGACATTCTACATCATTTCCAGGCAAAATTAGAAGATCGTCAAAATCAACGATTACAAAGCTTCCATTCAGAAGCAAAAATTGGAAAATTTCAGAAAATAAACAGAAATTTTTGTTCCAAACTTTTTTTCTCTCAAGTCAATTTCCCCAGATAGCTATTTTTTCGAAATTTCTTCGGATCCACTTATCTCCACCATGGATGCTTGAAAAAATTTTCAAAAATTCATAGAGAGTACTTTTGATGTGTATAAAAGTACCGATTTGTTTCAGATTTTTTAGAGACATTGAAAAAAAAAGGTGGTTGGATTGACAAAGAATCCCTCATATAAGAGTGTGTTTGCCGGATTTTCTTACACTTGTATATACAACTATCGGACAAGAAGATTTTAAGCGAGATCTTTAATATTGAATCGTGTCACATATCATTTCTACGTTGAGAATCATACCTGCGTTCTCAAGTACTGGGACTGCTTGTGCATCAACATCATCGTCTAACACATCAGGGATTTCTCCACCAATGTCCATGTGATCTTCCTGGGCCTCTGGATCAATGAAACCTTCAGGATGATTACGATAGACGTGTTTGACGTACGAATCCCATTTTTTGAACGTGGCCCCACATCCTCTGTTAGTACATCGTACTCTGAATAATGCATCAAACTTGCGACGCCTAATAATGTGTTTTTGCAGCTGATCAACATTCACACACCGAACATGACATATCGAACACGTCAGATGATCCATATTAAACAAGGGGGGAATGCCATTATAAGGAACTGCGTATAGCTGTTGTTGCTAAGAAATTAGCAACAAGCTTCCGAATGGATTTTTGTTTCTCAGATTTTATTGTTTCCACTTTTTTTCCTCATTATAATATTTATTCGAATACATAGAAATGTATCTAAATTGTCTTTATATTCAATTAAATTTTTATCACCTCATCATGTGATAAAGTACTCAATTGAAAATCGAATTATAATGCAATCGAGTGAAGTTGGTTCGTTATGAAATTGTTTCATTCATACTATCACTGACAGCTCCATCAATTGTGCAAAACATGTCGAAAGGTAATTAATTTTTTATATTATTAATAATCCTCCCTCTTATTTTATATTTCTCTCTTAATATATTTCCATTTATTTTGATGATTTATATAGATTCATTGAAAAGATCTCATGATACGATTGATAGTAATTCGTCTTCACAATCAGGAACATCTTATAGAGGAAATCAAGAGGTTGGAAACACAGGTAAAAACTATTTTCTACATTCTCCATCGTTCCCAACTGAATATTTTCCCACTGTCGGATTGTATTCATTATATTTCCAATTTCTTCAACTCTAATTTTAGTATATTTTATTCAGTTGAGTTGGCAAAATTAGAGTTCCTACATTTGATACTGTTCATGTGTAATGAATTTCCCTTCCATATCATGTTTTCTTAAAGATTATTTTTCCTTTTTCAGACGAAACGTTTAATTTTACTCTCACTCCATCCCATATTCTTCGTATGTACCACAATGACATTAAATCGCGAATGATGTGAGTGGAAATGTATAATATTTAATTATTACATAGTTACTGTTTAATCTTTGATTTTCAATTCTAGATCTATTGTCGGAGTAGTTGATCAGGTTATTCCTATAATTACGCTAAGTGGTCCTGCGAGCAAGAGTTTGTTTAAATGGACCTTGAATAATGGCGATTGTGAACGAGGTGAGTGTATTTCTTGGAATAGTCAAATCAAGAGAATTGAATCATCTATTGTTTTGGGCAATGTAAGATTTTGTTAGTTAATCATCAATTGATCAATGTTGATGACTCGAATATTGGTTTTGATTTTCATGATTATGTTCTACAGGAGAGCCATTTATGACAAATCAAAATCGTCATTCAATATTTCAGTAGTGAATTTGTCGAACAGTTTAAATCGACTTAGTTCCTAGTTAAGTTTTTTGAGAATATGTTACAATCTAGGAGAGATCGCAGAATTTTTTAAGAAGCCTTTTTTGTACAGTAAAATCAGAGCTACAAAAAAGGTTACTTGGAAAATTCCATTATCCTCCTTATATTCCGAGATATTTATTTCAAACTCACCACAGAATAAAGTTAACTTAAACTGTTTGACTACGTCACTACTGATTTTACAGTGTTTTGAACTCATTAGAGACTTTTCATCGGGGGGGGGGCCTTTTTCTCTAAACTAGAATGATATTTGACGAGTAATTTTTTTTTTAACATTGAAGTAGTATTGGAGAACCGTAATTTTATGTTCTTGATGGTTTTCGCCAGAAAAACATCATTTTATTCTTAAGATTGACTATCAATTGATAAATAATTCCTTAATATAATTATGTTTTCATTATTGTGGATTTTTCATTAAATAGGTTCTCTTTATTAATGGAATTTTCATGAGGGCTGGAAATCCAAAATATATAAACGGAACAGTATTATTCCAGTTGACTATTCAGTCGAATACCACTATAAATGTGATGCACAAATTTGGCCCTAATATTCATCAATTAAATATTTTGAACCAAAATTTAAGGTTGATTGAACTGGAAGATGTGTGTAATCATCGTCAATGGATTCGTGAGTAGTATCTTCTGTTCTCAAAGATTAAAGTAATATTGCCACTGTTAGAGAAAAAACACTGAAATTTTATAAATAGTTGGAAGGAAGTTTTCCAGAGAGTTCTATTAAATTTCATTTAAAGGAATCATCAAATTTCTACATTCCACTGAGAGTGAAATCAAATTTCTCATTTTCAATTACAAAAAGAATTCAAAATTTTTAAAAGTAGCAGAAATTTCAGCCAAAAATTCCTTACAGTATGTTTTTTATTGAAATTTGATCGATGATTCTCTAGTTTTCCCTTCTTTTATTTATAGGTGTACAAGGTTTTATCAAGACCAATTTTTCCCTGATTCAAAGAGCAGAAGGATCACCTTCAGTTTGCTTTGGTGCCATTGGGGCTGATGATTTCTGTTTGGAAGTGAAAATTGTTCAGTTTGATAATCCTTTAACTCATACTTTTGAAATAGGACAAAATGTTGAGTTTCAGGGTTTTATTCGGAAATCAGGTGTGTGATATTGATTGATAACTTATATTCTCGAAGATTCTTTACCATTTCCAGTTCAATAACTCTTGAATGTCCATTTATTTATTTCAGAGGATTTTCCACCTCAACTCATTGCTCGTACCCTAGGAGACATCGTTGTGATTGATGGAGTTGTCAAAGATGTGTCCTATCTATGCGAATGTGTTAAGAGTCCCGTCGAAAATGTGAAAAAATCTCGGCAGGATTGATTCAAATTTTTTTATTTGTTTTTCATGGAAATTTTGTCCATTTTACCATCATTTATACATCAACTTTTCTTTTATTGGAATTTTTAATCGTACAAGTAAAAAATTTCCTCTCTCTACCATTGTCATTCGAAATTGTATTCAATTTATTAATTTAATCCATAAATTACCAGTATACCCCTTCTAGAAATGATTATTTCTGTTAATTTTTGTCCAAAATGTCCTTCTTAACATATGTTTAGGCTTTCAAGTGTTGTAATTTCCATTTTCTTCTCTAATATCTCATTTATTACAAACTGCAAATAACTCCTAATAATAGATAAAAAAATAAGTAGCCTGCACGAGAACGTCAAGAGACCCCAGGAGACACTCCACTAAATTTCTCGTAACCCAAGCATCTTCCCCTCACAAATTTCGATCCCCTTGAATTTAATAATGATTCGTATCTGTCATGAATTCTCAGCATTTTTCAACGTTTAGCAGTTGTTGTTTCCTCAAACTCTCTTGAGTGGTCCAACTTCCTTTCCTCCAGTTAGTAGCCTGCGTAGCCAAATATATGAAAGTTATTTTTGAGAATGGAATCACAACGGTGCACGTCTTTAACCGGAGGATGATTGACTTCATAACGTATACGATGAAGAGTTATGACGAGCACATGTCCAACCTCCAGGTGGCGAGTACAACCCTAGACATGAATGCGAACCTACAGTTTGTGAGTGGATGTTCTCCACTAAGAGACCATGAATAAAGGGTAAAAAAGCAGCATAAGTTCCTACAGACGTCGAATTTCTTTGCTGTGATCCATAAATCATCGAACTCGAGTCATTGATGCGATCAAGACTATCAGATATTAGGCATGCTCCTTCAGGTTAACACCTCAAGACATGTGGGTCTTGATCTCAGTAGTTATGATCATAAATATATCTCAATCGAGAAGTGACAACAGAATTTCATTTATATCAATACAAATTTAAAAATAAAACAATAACGATTGATACGTCAATACGTTATAATCCACGGAATTTAATATTTCATATTGATTCGAGTGGATACTTTATTTGAACGGTAAAAAAAATTATTTTCATCCATTATAAGATTAACTTATGCAAATAATTATAATGGGCGAGTTTGCTTCATGTGTTATATCAATTTTTTCATTCTAGATGTCATCACGTCCTTATAGACGTAATTATGGTGGATGTAGTTGTGGTTTCAATAGAGTCAACCATGAGAGATTGAATGGGCAGTCCTCTGAATATTCTGGATGTAATTCTGAAAATTGTCATCAGCAGTCATCGCGTCGTTCTCAATTTCAAAGAAGACAAAATTGTGAGTGTGTTTCTCTGCAACTTTTGTTATGAGTCACAATTAAAATTAGCAAAGAGAACTTTTAAAATTGATGCTCATCAATTTCCATGGTTAACATAAAATCTATTGATCTATTGATCCATTTCCCAATCATTCAAGGGCAACGTGGTACGAACAATCCCAATGATCCAAGCCAACCAAGAAGGGATCGATTTGATCATTTTCATTTCCGTAATAATCCACGTGATCAGCAGCGTCGTGGTTCACAAACAAGAAAAAATGGTTAGTGTTTTTCCATTTTTTTCACTCTTTTTATCTTGATGAATTCATTGTGTTTTTCGTCATAATTCAAGGGCCATCACGTATGAAAAAATCGTATAGAAAATTTCTATACGGATTGCGTATAGAATTTCTATAGGATTTTCGTATATGATATTCGGATATTTCTATACGGATATTTTTTATACAAATTATTTCTATAGGTTTGATCCTATACGACCCACTTCCTCATGTATAGAAACATTTCGTTAGGAGTTGCGACATTTCTCTACGTTTTTCTCTGGAGCGTTTAGACATCGTTTGTATGAAAACAAAAGTTTATGTAAATATTTATGTATAGAAATAATTCGTATAGAAAATATTCGTATAGAAATATCCGAATATCATATACGGTAATCCTATAGAATTCTTATACACAATCCGTATAGAAAGTTCCTATACGATTTTTTCATACGTGATGTGGTACGAACAATGATAATGATTCAAGCCAATCAAGAACAGTTCGATTTAATGATGTTCATTCATGGAATAATCAACGTGCTGATGATCGTCGTAATCCTCAGCGGACTCTCCGTGGAAATTTTTCACATTTTAATGAGTAGAAGGATCGATTGAAGAATCCATTTTATGATAATAATTATAATCAACAACAGAAGAGAATTGAGGAACTTGATCAAAAATTGAAACGGCTGAAAGGAGATTCAAACAAGAAGAAAACTAGAGGGGGTCGATATTTGGATTATCGTAATTCGAAGTAAATATTCTCAATTTTTTAATTTCGAAAATTAAAATTTCTGATAATGTTGGGAAGTTTGCCGGTTTTTCAGAAATTTTATGGAATCTAATTTGGAGCGTTTTCACAAATTAGTAGAAAATTGATGAGTTTCTGAAAACTTGGTGCTAATTTAAAATGGAGAGGAGAGTGAGACAAAGTAGAACGTCTTCAATCGTTAATAAGTCAATGAGGAGTGAAATTCAACGATTTTTTTCCATCATTTTTAAGCTAAAAAATTTAGCTTCTAAATGGCGTAAACTTCATTCAAATCCACCCTACCAATTTTGAGATATTCAGGATTGGAGATGTTCTACATTGCCCCACTCACCTCTGATTCTTCTGGAAGACAATCAGAAAATAATATTTTTCCGCACAATTTTGATATGATATTCGTTAGTTGTCGGGGTGGTTGATTCAGTATGGAATATCTTATATGTAATTTCTATTTTCATGGATCCATGTATAATTTTCTCGGTTGCATCAGGGATACAGCCACCTAACAATTTTTATGAGGTAGTTAAGTCACAGATCGATTCATTCCTTTATTTCAGATACTGGCGGGGTAAATTCATTCAAGAGCAACAAAAAGCAAATGAAATCGCTAAAAGCAGCTCTGGTGGAATCAAGTACTACTTGGAATTGAAATAAGAAGACTCACAATATTTTGTTTGTCGTTAATTGTATCTCGAATTGTGGATTATAATTTTGTTTTGATATTTGTGTAATTTTTTCTATTTTTTTCATCCACCACTTAATAATCAACTCTATGAATTTGTATTTTCAGTTAAGACTTCAGTGAAAAATTGGAGAGTCCAAATTCTGATAGACAATTAAATAGAAAAAAAAATCACGAACTGTTTTTATAATAACCAGCATCAGTATTTCTCCAAATATTTAATGATTCGAGCATTTTAGACTCTTTATCATACTCAAGTACTCATTAACGACCTTGTTTCGGAATTCTACTCTCTCAATACTACTCGGTTTCGATCAATGGTTTCTTTCTTACAAATTAATCATTTGTGTAAATCCATCTTGTGATCGACCAGAATCTCTTTAAGGCATCTGTTATTTTTTATCTATGGAATGTTCCAGATCGATAATTGATATGTCAAGTGAAAGAGAATCTTTTTTATTGAAATTAGTCCAAAATTCAATGATCCATCACCGGATGATTCGTACTTCTTAAGAAAAAATTATTTTGTGTGATGTTTGAGGCAAAAAGTTTTCTGTTGCTATATCGGAAGTGGTGTTAACTGTACAACACACATTCATATGAACGGAAAGGCGATGTTCGTTGACTAATTGACAGTTTGGCGTAAGAATCATTGCTTCTCTGATTCAAGACTACCGATTCTCTGGCTATTTTCTACTCTAAAAGTTTCTTCATCCTCCTATGACAACCAACTAATTAATGAAATGAAAAACCATCGAGTAAAACCTGAGGTTTTTTCCCTAGCTTGCTCTATATAATTCACTCAATGAGTTCTTAATACAGTCATACAGTCATTATGATCAAAGTATGATCGATATTTATATGTTTCTGTCATAAGTTTCAGAGCGGTTAACTTTTCTGTCATTTTGCAGTTCGACTCGAGATGAGTTGATACATAATTTTTTTATATCAATTTTTTATAAATGTTTTAATCATTATTTTGATAGACATTTTTTATACATTCTATTGTATTGTTTGAAGAAATGATTTTTCATTTTTTCCATCACAAAATTTGAAGAGGTATTTTGAATTACTTAATTAAATTTGATTTTTGCAATTTTTGGGTTACATCGAAAATGACCAATGTGAATTAATTATTTCCAGGAAGTTCAATAGTCATTCAATATTTTGTTGCGAGAATCAATTCAGAGCAAGACTGTTTCTGTTTCCATTTTTCCTCCTCAAGGCGAAGTACATTGGAGTATCAGGAAGCGAAATTCTGTTAGTTATTTTCATTTCATCTGCGTTCTAGTTGTTTGGATTTTTTTTTCAATTTTTAGTAACACGTTTGAATTTCTAGTAGTTATTCCCGACATCAAGGTAGAGTTATTTATTCGATTTAGGCTTCCTATACGTCCGAAAATTTTGAAAAAAAAAATATTTTATCATCTTGATATTCGAAGACAAAAATTGTGGGGGAGAGTGGGGTTGAGTGGGCAGACGAGGTAAAATGGACATTGGATTTTGTCCAGAAAATCGGGTGAGAATTTTTTAAAAAATCATTTTCCCACTCCAAAATTCCCTTCCATTTTTAGAAAATTTCCGTTTTTTGCGAATATCTTTGGTTCTAATCGTCGTAGCGCATTTTTACGAATTGCATATGAACGCTGAACTAATTTACCATCAATTAAGGTGGTTAAAAACTCATTTATGATGAAAATTAGGGGAGTATGAGTCAAAAACCGATTATCATGTAATGGCTCATATCTCTGTCAATATACGCCAAAAACGTATGTCCATAAGATGCCTCATACCTCTGTCAATTTAATATGCAATCCGTAAAAATGCGCTACGACAATCAGAACCAAAGCTATTGGCAGAAAACTGAAATTTTGAAGAAAAAAGGGATTCTCCCCTCCAATTTCCAGCTGACATTTTTGTTTACAATTTTCCGAATTCCGATGGTTTCATTGTGATTAGACGGCCCAGAATAAGTGGTATACACCCCCTTTGAGGCAAAAAATTCAAAATTGGCAAAAGTTCAATTTCCTCCTGAGAAACGTGGGGAAGAGGTTAGATTTTTTCGAAATTCCAGTTTTTCGCCAATATCTCCGGTTCTTATTGTCATAGTGCATTCTTCCGAATTGTATATTGAAGC